TCTAAAACATCATTCCATGCACTGATTGATAAATGCATTGCACCAATTTGCAATGGAGTACAATTTTTCAACTTTACATGTGTACATTGAAAAAAGCTGAATTATAGTAAAATTTAAAAATATAAAGGAGAAAAAGATAAAGAAAAGTAAGAAAGCAACATAGAGAAACATAAGATAATAAACTCTTACCATTGATACTTCAAGGAATATCTTACCGTTATTTGTTTAATTAAATTAAATTTAAATTCAGTTTAAAAACTGTACGATTTTGTCCTAACATATGCAACATGGGGCGTAAGAAATAATTTTTATTAATATCAAAAATGACGAAAAAATCGTTCAGATACCATTTAGCTACATTATGCATTCAAAGTATTTTAATTATCAGAGTTAGATACATTGTTAAAAAAATTAATACTAGCGTTATTAAGAACGAAACAAAAAAAAAGTAAAGGCCGTATTATTAAGGAGTGTTTAGACTGCTTTTAAATCAACCAGTTTTTCAAGTACTCGTAATTTTAAAGATAAAATCAAAATATTATATAATGTGAAACGGCAGCACTTTGAAAACTAGTTATGGCGGTGCAACAGACAGAGTTCTTACGTTTCGCGTAACAGCAACACTAAGTCGTGGGGATGATAAATCCATGGTAGCGCAACGTAACATCACTTAACATAAAGTAATGGCTTGATTTGGTCGACTTTGAAAGGAAAACCACATGAAGGCTATGTCCCAAATCAAATTCGGTCGTATTCAGATTACAGATAACAAAATGAAATGTTAATTGAAGAAATTTATCTAAATTGTATTGCTTCGTTCATTTCATAAAAATTCTGTTTGTGGATGTTTGTGTCAATGTTTATTATTTTCAGAAATTTAATTACTACATCAGAAAAATGTTGCTGTTACTGCTGTTCGCTACAAGTAGACATTTTTTCTAATCAATGCTGCAAAATCGATGGGACCTTTCACTTATCATCGATATCGTAAAAACGCGTTGCCCATCAGCGTAATAAATAGAGTTGTTAAAAAATTATGTTTATTCTTATTTCTCAATAATAATTTGCAACAAATACTTTACAGTAAATATTAACAGAATTTAACAAAAATCACTTTTTTACATTTCTTAAGACCTACAATATAATTTGATTCCAAAATTTATAACTTTACTGTACTTAAAATAAATAAATAAAGTCATTAATTAAAACGAATACAGAAATTTTGCAGTAATGTACAGATCTGTAGCTTTCTGTCTTATTTTAATTTTATTCAAACGGTGATGATTTCAGAATAAATATTTCATTATATATATATATATAATTTATTTCCTAAACAATATTGATTAATTGATTATATTATCTCCTAAGTTTAATTAAAGTAGAAATATTTTAAAAGAGTGAATCCATACTAGTAAGTTATATTTTGAAAGATGTTTTGAAGTAACTTGAAAGTAAATGTTAAATCATCATGAAGAACAAAATTTCAATTGTAAAAGGAAAAATTAAAAACATGTAATCATTGTCATTGATCGGAAATTAGTTGACTTTTCAAGAGGAACAAACCAACTCCAGTTCAATGAACAATAATTAAAAAATAAATACGTAAATACGAAGGTGTTTCGTCTTTACTCGAGTAATAAGGTCAAGCCAAACCGGCAATTCTAGTCAGGCCAAATATTTCCGCGAATAGAAGGGATTATGAACCAATGCTAATACTCAAAGAACTTATTCCTATGAAGCATTTTAGCCAATTCAGTTTTGAGTGAAAAGCAATTCCTGTAGGGAATTCCGAAAAACTCGAGTAACCGTCCCCCGACACCCCCGTGTTTATGCATTTGAGTTCGATTTTTGCATTTATATCATTTTACATTGGAAAAATAAGAATACAAATAAAATAAAGAAAAATAAAGAAATATGAATGCATTCATATTTCTTTATAATCCTAAAATACTAAATTACCTAAAAACCTAAAACACCAAATTATTGTATTTGGTGTTTTAGGTTTTTCTGTATTTTAAAATTTTTAATGAAGATATTTTGAGTGTTTATGTATTTTTGCTTTGCCGCAAAATAAGAACTCAGATGATTGAATGAGAAATATACCTCAAATGAAATAAATTAAAGCAGCAAAAGATGTGTATAATTTAATAGGCCATACAAGGAAGTCGTGTGCTGTCCACATCAGATTTTTTTCTCTTAAAGCAGCAGATGTGTTATTAGTCTCAAACCTCACTTTTTTGTCTGTATCATCTTTGCATCCGTATCTGTATCACTCTTCAAATGTTACCACCAAATGTTGTCGACATGTAGTTTTAAAAAAAGTAATATAGCGGATATAAAAAAATGTATGGCAAAATTTGAAACTTTATCGAGAATTCTATTTGATCTGATATAATTCAGAAAAAACAAATCATTCGACAGCGATAATGCCTCGCGCAGAGGCATCTTGGTGACTGCACCATTCCAGTTCGAAGTAGATGTAAAGTATTTTTAACTTCCGAGCGCCAGTTTGTTGCCATTTCGTGAAGTGTAAGATATTTAATTTTTCTTTCAAATTTAGTATGTCTGTTACTGATTAACAAACTATGCGACGATTTAAAAGCAATAAAATAAGTTTTTTATCCCTTTTATTAATTACCACTTGGACCCATTAAATTACACTAGTTGGATTTACTAAAAGTTGCTATGTATATTTTTTTTGGGGGGAAGGGGGTACCTATTTTAGGCAGATGACCACGTCTACGGCTAGTTATCTGAAAAGTGAAACGAAGAAAGATTATTCCAACTGAAAGTAAGGTTCGAGATTGATAACTCTTCCGCACTAAAAATATAGGGAAACACTTAACAATTCTAAAGATATGATGTTTTTTAAAAAAATTATTATTTTTCTGTTCAGATTTATGCGACTTAAGTACGGAGAAACAATAATAAAGCTAAACGCACAAAAAGGTTATGATAAAAGTTAAAAAAAACAAGAAAATAAAAGAAGCACGAGTAAATCAAACAGCGTATACGAATCTCCAATCTCAATGAGAGCATAAAAAATCTTAGCAAACCTTTCCAAGCCAAGTTAAAATCTCAAACCTTCCAATTTTTTTAAAATTTCTTCCTTCCCCTCTTTTTTTTAATTTGCCTGTTCTTTACTTTTATTTAACAATGAAAATTTACTTTCATTTATTGGCAACAACAGACGTTATTTTTATCTATTTAATCGTAAAATCCCGTGAGAGGTGTTAAGAGTGTATTCTGAATGCAAATTTCTTTGCCTTACTTTTAATCCCTCCCCTCTCCCCAATTTAGTTTCAAGTAATAAAAAATACCACCGTTCATACTTTTTAAGAACCGTTTATAACACACAACGAGCAGCTTTAACTTTTTCTCATTTCTCCTACAAACGAAACGTTGTATGCATAGTTTACGAAGGATAAAAATTTAAGCTGAATGCGTGGCAACCGGTCGCTTTGTCATTTTTCTCCAGTATCCGGGACCTCTCCTTTCTCAGATAATGACCAATTACACTTTGCATCAGCTAAAATGATTGTGTCCAAGTATATGACTGAACATTATTTCTCATTAAATATGAAAAGGTTACAGAACTAGTGAAATTTTTTAATGTTTTCTTTGATTCCCCCCCCCCTCTTACTGTTATTAATTCTCCTTCCGTAAGATAAAAGAATCACTGTAGTCAAGGATATGAACTTCTTCCTGCGCAAATGATTTTTTTTTCCCTTTCCAGTTCGAAAATTGTTTTCAAGAAACAATTTAACAATGTTTAGAAAAGCAAACTTAATTTTGAAAAAATTTTTATGCAGAAACTGAAATAATTTATTCTTTGAAGAAAGCTACGTACGTATCTTTACATTTTTATACAACGCCAAACAATTGTATACCAAGATACGTAATAAAAACGTTGAAAATATCTTTTATTCTCTTTTTAGATATATTAGAAATTAAATCAATTTTAAATTATATTACCCAGACAAATTATTGAAAGTAAAACAAATAATTAAATTATTAAGAAATGGATTTGCTCAGCTTGTTAAGCCATCAATTTAAATTAAATCTGAAAGATAAATTATAGATCTTGGGCTTTTGCCTAATCGCAACCCTCTGAGAAATGCTTTCTTTCCACGCCTTGTAGCAGATAAATTAATGATTTTATATTTCATGTAATTTCAAGTTGTGTAGATGTTAAATACATGGCTGTTTAACGTAACAGTAAGAAATTGTCGAAAGATTGCTCTCAAATACGTTTTTCTTTTTTAAATGCACGTGCATTTACATCTAGTTTGATAAATATGACAGCAACTGCAAAAAGTATTGTTACGTATGGATTCCTAATACAGTAGACGCTCGTTTTTACGAACTCGTAGGGACTACGAAAACAGTTCGTTAAATCGAGAGTTCGTAATTTAGAAAGGCAACGGAAATTGTTAGTATTTCACATTTTAATGTTTTCGAGACAGGTTAGTGATACTATTCCATGCTTTTATTTATGTATTAGGAATTATTTTTAATAGTATTACTACTTAATAAATGATATCCATTCTATTAAACAAACAAGAAATAAGAAATATAAAATATTTGTAAAACGTACCTTTATTAAGCCAGTAAGCAACAAAATAATCACTTATCTTTGTCTGTTTTAAAACAACAGATTGTGCAATGCAAGACTCCATCTTCTCTATATTTGTTAGCATTTCACAATTATCACTGGCCTCAAGAAATCGTCTAAGTTCTGACAAGTATTCAGCAGCTTGTTTTAAAGTCGGTCTTGGTGTTACTTCATTTCTTTCTTCTTCTTCTTCTGGATCTGAAAGTCTCTCTCATTCTCGTTGATTATGCTGCTAATAATATCGTGATCCGATATTTCCTCCGTGCAGATGACATTAGAATCCACATTTAAAAAATCCTCGAATGAAAGTTCTGGCAACTGTGGATTTTCTACGGCGAAGTTCATGCATGAGAACCTCATCTTCGTCGTGAGATCTATTGTCATGGATTTCTTCAGTTACGTCTGTTTCTTTAATAAAACCTGCATGTCGAAAAGCTTTAGAAATTGTTTCATCTAAAACATCATTCCATGCACTGATTGATAAATGCATTGCACCAAGAATATCAATCTGATAAGGTTGTTCCTTTTCCAAGCTAAGGATTACTCTTTGCAAGAGCACTGTCTTATATTTTCGCTTGAAACTATTGATTATCCCCTGATCCATTGGCTGTAAAACTGCAGTTGCATTTGGTGGGAGATATTCCACACGGATTGCCTGAAGCCCAGTGACTTCCATGTGTGCAGTACAATTGTCCACGATTAGGAGAACTTTGCGCTTCTCTGTTGAAAAACGGTTATCTAAATCTCTCAACCATTTTTCGTAGATGTTGCCAGTCATTATTAGCATAATATGCAGCAGGAATCTTCTGAACATTTTTGAAACACCTTGGTTTCAGATATTTTCCAATAAAGAGCAGAGGCAATTTTTGTGACCCAGTCATGTTGGCTGCAATTAAAAACTGTAAGTCTCTCTTTAGCTTTATTACCTCCAACACATTTATCTCCTTTGTAAGCTAATGTTCTTTCTGGCAAAATCTTAAAAAACAAAGCCGTTTTCGTCCGCATTAAAAACGTCATCTGCAGCGTATTCAGAAAGAAGCAATATCAACTTTTCTTCTTTCCATTCATTTGCTGATGACGTGTCTACTGCTGCACTTTCACCACACACTTTCCGGAAACTCAAAACCATTCCGAAATTTAAATTTCTGTAACCAACCATCCGATGCTTTAAAATCTTTGATGTTTAATTTGAAGCAAAAAAGTGTGCTTGTTCTTTAAGTACATTTCCATCAATTGGAATGTTTAAGCTTCTCATCTTTCGAAACCAAACAAGCAAAGCCCTTTCCAAATTTGGGTGTTTTGATTCTCGAAAATATTTTCGAGAGGAGGGTCCACATTCATCGTTTCCGTTTTTTAGCTCCAAAGATCTTCTCTCTTGCCTTTAAAATCGCCGATAAACTATTTTTAGGAATTCCATATTTCTGAGCAATTTGTGTCTTGCTTAATATTTTTTCGTCAACTTCTTTTAAAATCTTCTTTATTTCAACCGCTAAACAAATTCGTTTCTTCATTTGCGACATAGCTCTAAGAATCTTACTTAACAAAAATTGGCCCAATCTCCCTCTCGACTAACGAGATGCTACTGTTTATGAGACTTCACTGATTGAGTTGTCCAGATCAAATGACTATGACATTGCAAAAAGCAACAACTCTCTTTTAGAAGCAACCCAAACCCCTTTAACACGAATGGTCTCACCCCCACCCAACAACATCAGGCCGATGCTCTTCTGAGAGCCTCCCACAACAAACAACACCATAAATTTGTCCTAATTCCCCCTCTTCTCCGGCCCCTCCTTCCTTACTGTACTTCTTTGAATGTTTCGCACTTGCTGCCTCAAAATAGTTGGAGATTTTATTTCACCTTCACACTTCGTCCCAATGAAACATGCAGAAGTATGAAAACTGAGTTCGCAAAAAAGAGATTTTCCTGATTTGTAGTTCGTAAATAAGAGTGCAAAATTACATTACATCTATGGGAGTGTATTCGGGACCATTCGCTAGTTCGTCAAATCGAGAGTGTTCGTAAAAAAGAGGTTCGTAAAAACGAACGTCTACTGTAGATTGAATGCACAGAGAAGCGATTATAGGTTGATAAAATTTATATTACCAGAAGGAAAACTTTACAATTTTTACAAAATATACTCGCACAGCTCTTCACAGCATTACACAGCACAATCAGTAGTTGCACATCCAACTATTAAGAACCTTAAACACAACCCAAAGCAAAGCGTATCTAAAGAGCTAAGCTAAGCCAGATATATCTCAGTACTCCGAACTCATGCTGTACTACCAACTACAACAACAAAGAAATTGATGCTCCAGTCTTATATAATTTTCACCTGGCCGCCGAGATATTTCTAGTATTTTCTGCTTTTGCAAATTACTGAAAGACATATGAGGGCCGCATACGGTTTGTAGTTACTCAATTACGATACCCATCACAGCTACACAGGGACCGGGCCGAAATAGTCGCCAAGTTTGGTGACTTTTGGTGATGTCTCGCCGAATATGGCGACATAAATTAGTTGCCAGAACCATCGCCAGTTTGGCGATATCTCCCCAATTTAGCGAGAGAGCCATTTCCTTTGTTAAGTAGACTTGCCCTCATATTCTTATGTTTTCAGCAGAGCATCTTCTCTTTCAAGTATTTCATGTTACATACTACAAAAAATACGACAATTTCAGTAAAATTATTTACATCATGTACGAAATTCGATACAGTATTTTCAAGACGCTTTTAATTTTTTAATTTTTTTTCTTTCCCCCTTCATTTTGTCATTGTATACATTTTAGAAGAGAAATAAAGAATGTTCGTAAAGCATTTGAAATTTTCTTTAGAGTGGTATAGCATCCAAATTTAAATTTGAATTAATTTTTACTATGCCGCACATCTAATTGAAACTCTACGCATTCCAACTGCAGGTTCGCACCTGAGCTTGATGCCAATTGCGAATAGGTAGCAAATATGCTATTAAATACATGCAGCTAACGTTTTCTCAAACCTTGTTCTGATAAAATACTAAATAATGCTGTAGATTTCCTCGATTTATATAGCCTGTTCAGGAAGTTGGTAGACTGATGATGTTCATCATCCTGCAGTAACACTGCAGGTGAACTGGGGTAATCTTTAGTTAACGTTTTGCATTTATAATATGGGTACAGTGCCAATAACGACTTTTCATAAAATTATTTTGTGTGTATTATTGGAAAAGAAAGCAATGTGTTATCGGAGTTATCCATGATATTTCACGTCAGACGCGCATCAGCGCTCAAAGCCCAGAAATCAGTCACTGGGCTCAACATCGTACCAATTCGCCTGAATTTATCGCAAAGTGTACTTTTTTTGTGTTCAAAAATAAAAATTAGCTGCAAGGAAAGCATGAACAAATTTAAAGGACTTATTAGAAACAGATCCGCTGTATTGCTTCCATAATGAAAATTTTGCATATGAATAGCGGACAGAAGTACTTCGACTTCGAAGATGATATATGTCAAATAGCAGTTTTATATATTTCGATTACGAGCTCTCAGTTATCTTCATGACTTTGTTCACACAGAATGCCATGTTGAATTAAGTTGTTGTTTCTAATGAAAGAGTGGAGGAATTTTAATTCAATTTTGAATTTAAATTAGAGGTAGGGAAATAAAAGTAAAATAAAGTAAAGCCACTGAAGACTCTAGTAGGTTTCTCAGACTGCGAAGGGCAATCAGATATTAAGTCCTTTTTCAAGAGCAAATTTAGGCAAATTTTAGCCAAAAACCGCGCTAGCTCAATTGGGCTTTTGTTTCGAAACCGGAATTTGCATCGCCCACTATAAACGGCGAATCACTTTTCAAATTGTTGCAACCAAATACTGTCACCTTATATTATCTTCAAAGATATAAAATAATGAAGAATCTGAATGTATGTATGTTCCTCGCATTCTGGAAAAAAAAAAAAAAAAAAAAAAAAAAAAAAAACAAGACGGTACCTAGACCCTTTCAAGTTTGAACAACGTTGTCCTCCACCCGAACACGTGCACGTGGAAGCCCGAATTTTGAAGTTCGAATTTATATTTCATGTTTTGTAAACCTTTAATGAATTTTTTGATTACAGACTCAAAGATTTGAAAGCGAGCGTGGCAACACTGTACGGAATGAAATATTTTTATCTCCACGTACCAGACTGTCGAAAGTTCTAAAGATATGCTGTTTTTAAATATTTGTGATTTTGCGTCGAAGTGAAGTTTATGTGACATAGTCGAAGAACGTGATATCTAATACATAAAGTTTCAACACAAAACCTTATAATAAGTCACACAAAAAAAAAAAAAAAGTTTTGTAAGCCATCTTACTACGAAAACTAACACTCTTATTATAAATGAGAAAAGACTGAAAAAAAAGTAGAAAACCTATGCCAAAACTTAACACTGCATCGGAATTCTAAACATATGCTACTTATGCAGCTTTTAAAATTTTTGTAATTTTACTGTTGAATCGTATATGGCGTAAGTGCGGAGAAATAGTGCTTAATAATATAGATAGCAGAAGTGAGTACAACAGCAGTCAGGTAGACGCAAGCTCAGCGAGAACTTATAAAACCTAACAAATCCTTTTGCGCTATCGTTAAAATCTGAAACCTTTTATAGACTATGATATCATTTTTTAAATTTCATTTATTTTTTTTTTTTTAGTTATTTTTTTTTTTAATCCTGAAAAAAAAAAAAAAAAAAAAAAAAAAAAAGATTCCGTCTGGTCGCCTTCGAAATCGATATATTTTTATTCAAAATTTAACAATCTAAAGTTGCTTTTCTTACCTAATTTAAATTTACTTTGACCACACGTCTCTTCTATAAGATGAATTTTAAATAAAATTGTTCTTTCCGACATCATTTAATGATTGCTTTTGAACACACAGGTGTATATTTAGTTAATTTATGCAAGCAAATACATCCATCCATTCGAAGCATGAAATCATCCATCTAGATCAAATTTTCAAATTCAACATCGCATGTACTTGATGCATTTCGGTTAATGCGACCGGCACGAATAAGTTCCGAGGCTCATTGGTTTGCATGACACCATTTTAAGCCTTTGGGAATAGTAAAATCAAAGCACTTGGTCAGCATTTTGCTGATGCCGATGGGATTAACAAAATACTCGCGAAGTCTTGGACTAAAACAAACCAAATAGATTAAACGGAGAAGGTGGGTGATATTTGGATATTTTTTTTTTTTTTTTTTTTTTTTTTTTTCTCTCTCCACAGGAACCGTACAAAGCATATTTTTATTTCTTCCTCCTTTCCTGTTTGATGTATTTTCTTCTTTTATTACTATTAATGAATGCAGTATCTAGAAGAATGTATATTTATAATGCAAATTCCACGGCTTTCCTTTTTTTCACCCCCTTCTTTGAATCGCACATTGTGATGTTTGCTTCGCATGCAAATTTCGCAGCTTAATAATTTTTAATTAATTTTTTTAATAAATTAAAATCCTTTTTGAAACCGGACTATCTAATCTGCGTGTTTGCATTTGAAAGGCGAGATGTTTGCTTTCGGTACTGGGGGAACAAGTTTTGTATTCGAAGATAGAATGAGAACAGATGTTGTAATATCCTAACGAATAACACGAACAGCTTGAGGAATTTTGTGCAATTTATTTAAAAACTCAGTCTTAATAATTATCCTAATTCTGCGCATAACATAAAATGATTGATTCTGGAGTTTCTCTTTCTCCGTGTGCATAGCAAAATTACAACTTATACTCTAAAATGGGTAAAAAATGTAAATATTATTCG